TGATGCACTAGATTCATAGTACCAGTATGCAGAACACATTTTATTCTGTCAGAAATAGGAGAGAACTGTCCTCCTTTTGTCTTTGAAGATTTTTTACACAATGCATTGTGATCAGTTATTCCTTTTAATTCATTGCAATGAATAATAGACCATGGATATATGACTTCTGTATCAATACATATGGATATAATTTATACATAGGCATAGTATCTGTCTTTATGATGTAAAATAAGAAGCCTACGTTTGATGGCGTAGAAGGAGACCGAGTGTGACACTTCATGTTAGAAAGAGACTGAGTGTGACACTTGTATATATATAAATCATGAAAAACTGCCTGTATCATACTATGCACAGGTGCACAAATCAGGTGCCATATTATCTGTAGTGATTTATTGGTGTGAACAAAGCTTTGACACATCTGTAAGAGTGATTATTAACAATATCAGCTGTAATATATTTCTGGATGAACAACTCATGCTAAATTATTATATTTTTGTACACAATTGTCCCTCCATTTTTGACAAAGTTGCCACACATAATTTCTGTGAGGTGGCCAGTCTCTGGCAAGGATGACAGCGAAAGCACTCCACTTAATGTCAGTTGTGATGTCTGCTCATTTCATTCACCAGAGATGTCCTTGCACTGACAACCCTCTGTAAGCCTTGCCTTCATATGATTTATGTTGTAGTCAAATTTATATTGTTAATATCTTCTAATCGGTGTGTTATTTGAAGGAAGATTAAGTTATTTTAACACACAAGATCACCAAGTTCAAATAATCAGAAAATCTCAAAATTATTCAGATAACTCGCCAGCCCACTTTTGCTCCTTCCATAACAGACTCCAGAACATGAGGACATCAGGTGGAAAGAAAAACAGGCGATAAATTAAAAGATCAGAAAAGTCTTTTATCCTTGTGATCAGTAATAAAAACGCTGGCAGAGAATAAAATACATAGCAGCATGTCTGCTGAGGTGAGTCATAGCATTCCTGGGTGTAGAAATCCAGGCCATTTCAGACTTTAAAGTGGAGTTAAAAGGGGGAAAACAAATGAGGAGGACATAAATAAAGGATTTAATTTTGAGAGGGGTTCTTAACTTCTGACCCTAATTCAACAAACCTGGGCTTTTAAGTAGCGAGGGCAAGGTAAAAGAGGTGCTCCTTTTTGAAAGCGCCTGTCAGTTTGAAATGACATCTCTTTTCTGGATGCTGATCACATCTTAGGTGGCCATTAAATAGCTTTGGCCTTAAGTTAAGGTGACTTATTAACAGAAGTTCATCTTTGACGAGGTATTTTAACTATGTATATGTGTGTGTTGGGGGGGGGGGGGGTACAGGGTTAAAAGATTTGATCAATGGATTATTACAATTTCTGAATAAACCAAGAATTGAGCTCCAGATAGTAGAAAGGTTACAGAATTAGGAAGCCTGCTTGCTGTTTGGCACAAGACTTGAAAAATCATTTCATCACTTTTTCCCTGAATTCTTTCCTTGAATTGCCCTAGATGATATGAGATTTTGCTGTTAAACTGGATTAGAAGGTCTCCCAAGTTTACAAATATTTTAAAGGAATAGTTTATTTATTCTAAGGAAGATTTCATAACAGTTAACTTTCTCAGAGAATCAGATGGTTTATTAAATGTAAGGAGATTTCTACAGCATTTCAGTAATTTTGTTCTCCTTAATAAGTAACTTATGGTTAAGGTTGTCATGCCATCCAGGTATTACTGGATTTGACACACACGCGTGCATGCATGCATGCACACACACTCATGCACACACATACACACGAGCCCATGGGCTCACACATTACAGTAATATATAATAATGAGAGAACACTAGCCTAAGGACAGAGAGAGGATGTAAAGAAGAAACCAAATTGATGAAGAAACAATTGTATACAAAACTTCACAGCAAAGTGAAAATGTTATAACAAAGAGGTGCCATGTAGAAGAATACCATTACACCTTAGATTTTATCATTACACAACCTAGGGGAAGATGAAAGTTGTTCTGTGTATTTACTCCTTCACTAAACTACTCTTCAGCAACACCCATGTTCTTTGTGCCTTTGTCTCGCCCTTTAACTTCTCAGCCCGCGGAAGGCGACACAGCCAAAGGGCAATGTGAAGGAAAACACTACAAACACAAAGGGTAAACCACAAATGGATAATGCCTGATGATTCGATTTTCTGTCTAAATATCCACCAAAAATAATCGCATTGTTGCTTTATATCCATGAAAAATACCTGCATTGAAGTGATCTGTTTGCAGGTCCATGTGACCGATATTCTCCGCCAGGGTGTCGGCAAGGGTTGTGGCTTTCCACTAATTAGCTTTCAATGGTAGATAACTCGGGTGTGTGAATTCGGAGTCTTGCTACCCTGGATGTGCGACAGGGTTTTATGGAGAACAAGGTGTCGTTTTTGAAGAGGGAGATGCAGCATTGTATTTCATCGTGAAGGAATTAAGATTTCTTAGCTCAGGTGCTCTGTTGTTTGCCTGTAAAGTTAAAAAGGAAAAATATCAAGGCAGAGTACACATCACAGGAACATATTTCTCTTTTCCTTTGTAGATCTTATAAAAACCTCCTTGTTCTCTTACCTGTGGATGTTTTAGCCAGGTGTGTCTCTTTCGTGCTGATGTGGACACAGAAACATGAGGAATCCTGCTACAATCATACAGTTATAACAAAAATAAAATAATTTATTTATTCCTTTTGTGTGATGGTAAACCATATATTTGACTAGCATGATCATCTTTCTGCTATGAATATTGAAGATTGTAGATGAAGTTTATAATTTATACACACTGCATTCCATCCAAGCCAGAGATAGACATTGATAACAACACAGGGGTTGGTCTTCCAGTGTGTATTGTCACAGAGTTAATATTCAAAATTTGCAAAATGTGTCTGAAAAGATCCTGAAGAATGGTAATTTTTAGGGTTGGTTGCACGCTGCTTTTTTAAGAGAAGTAATTCAGTTCAGTTAGCAAACATACATAAAATGCTGGAGGCCGAACATTGTTTATCTTGGGTATTGACTTGCGCCTCAATTGACGGGCAATTTCTTAAAATGAGGTCGCTTCTAACAAGTCATTTTTTGATTGATATTGACCCCCAATGACTGGCCTATACAAGTTGTGTGTGGAAGGTTTGAGAGAGAAATAATAACTCCTTGTTTGACGCTGTACTTCGTGTACGGAAAAACTGAATACCGTAGAGCATTCTTGGAGTATAAAGTGGAGCATTCTTAATCAGTCAAAGTGGAATGTATGCCTTCAAAGTTGAAATCCAGGTGCATTTTTAATAGGTCCAGGTGTTGTACTTTACTGAACCTGAGAGCCAGAGTTTCTTTACCCAAGTACCTACGACATTTTCTGATCTTTGTGGTTTAAACTGATGAACTTGATGGGGCGACACTGGAGACACACGACTTTTTAATGTCACCAGTCCGTAACTGGGGATGCTTACTATTGTTGTGACACGAGAGAAACATGAAAGAGACACACATACGTGATACAGACAGACTAAAAAGCTTAACAAAGTGAAA